GTAGGCCTCCTTTGAAACCTCTCTTATGTTTCAGTTTATATTAATTTTTGTAAGGTAAACCTACACTATACATGTACACCGCTGTAACCTAGAAACTCTGGCGTTTGAAACCTTAAATGTACTGTAGAAGGCTGTAGCTGATTAAGAAATGCAAAGGTGAAAACTAAAAAAACTTTGACTGCAATCGGTCTCACAGTCTCCCCTTTTGAATGTCATTGGCATTTTTCCCCTAACTGTAAGATGTAAATACAATGTGAAAACTGATGGATCATATACTGTGCATTGGCCTTTGTTCACAGTGGAAGTAGACACGACACATTGTGTATCACTGAGGTTTGTTGAAAGGAAACAGCTTCATTCAAATCACCTGCATTGTTTGCTTCCAAGACACAGTGGGATTGGCTTAGTGCTGGCTTCCTTAGCTGCAAGCATAACAAATGTCCAGGTGAAAACTTTCAAAACCTGACCTGCAGCCGATCTCACAATCTCCCCCTTTTACGCCAACCTTTTGTTCCAGTTTCAGAACCGACAGAAAGGTGAGATTCTCTGATGTCTGGTGTTTGTGTATTTCTAGAAGTAGAATGAAGTCCTGGATGATTGTTTAGCCTGGTAACCGGGGCGTGCATTGTATAATTTCAGCTTGTTTTCTCCTCTCAAAATCAATCTTTTCATTTTTTTGTCTACTTGTTTCTATTATATATTACTGGAATGTATTATAATGGCCGTTGTCAGAAATGATCACGTCTTTTACTGTTGTGTATCCTTCACAGTGATTGCTTTTGCCTTCAGATACCAGTGTGGACAAGATCCATTTTGCCAAACTAATTTATAAAGTACAGCTGTTGGCAACTGGTACAGTTACTATCTGAAATTGTGCTGTGAATACCATATCATTTTAATCTTTCTCATGGGACAAAAAGTAAAAAAGCACATGCCTTTTTTGTAGATTTTTGTTACTGTCCACAAGTCCACCCCTGGACGGGCAGCGATGCAGAGAAGTCGTCTCAAGATCGAGGAGAAGGAGCTGGACTTTGAGTTTGAGGTGGTGAATGTTCAGTTCAACGAGCTTGGCAGTTACGTGCTGAGGCTGACCGTGGAGAACCCCCTGCTGGAGGACTGTGGGACTGGCGTGCAGCTGAGGGTCAATGATGGTGACGTCCTCTACACCAGCACTGGGACCACTGATGTCATTGAGCAAGCCAGCCTGGATGAGATCTACACCTGCCTTCGCTACAAGTTTCTCTTCACCCTGCCCAAAGGTACTGCAAGCATCCACATCCTCAATCCAGGGTGATTATTACATCGTTGTGTGCATGACATTACAGTATGCAGCCATGTCTTAACTGATTGTCCCCTGATCCTTTTTGAATTTTTATTATGTAATATGACCTTAATTACCTTAATGGGTAAAATTACCTAATTGGTAAAAATTGTTAAATGGACAAGCTGAGACCTCTTTCCTATTCTTAAAAATATGGAGATTTTAAAGAAACCTTTCTGTAAAACCTGCTGGACTTGGGCTGTTAATGACCAGAGTTGGATCCACTACACCCCTGCTATAGTGTCAAAGAGTCCTTTTTTTTAGCCAAGTAATGTGAGTATCTTAAATGGATGAATAGGCTTGAATGCGAGAGTCTTCTTTCTACTTTTCAGCGCCAAATTAACCTGGTTGTTATATGGATTTTTTTTTTGGCTGAGGCTGTGGCTTTGTGTCTAGGTGTACAGGCTGAGAACAGTGTGGTGCCACTAGGTTTATGAATGGTTTTGAAGACCTAAAACTGCTAAATGTAAACGTTTTAACTTAAGTGGCAGTGAGTTGATTGCTATGGCTGAAAAAAATAAAATCAAAATGTCCGACAATCTGCTGTATGACTGATTTAGAAATGGATAATTGTAACCTAAGAAGAATGAAATATCAGATAAAAGTACAGAATCTCTACTGGAGTGTTGTTTGCAGTTTGTTTTGAATAAATCTGGCTATGAATTGATATTCCTGATCATTTCAGCCATGCATCTTAAATCCATTAAAAAAAACTGCTGGTAAGATCTTGCTGCATTTCTCTAGAATATATCACTACTGACAAGTTCCTCTGTCTCTCACACACACCTTACAGGAGAGGTGAGAGCTCCTCTGTGTTATAACGAAAAGTTAATTAATGCATGTCACTGCTGTTTCAAGAAATTCTAATATAACACGCTTGTCTGAAATGGCTGTAATTACATGGAACACCTCTGAACATGTTCACTAACGAGCAGTGCTTTTTAAAAATAGAATAATTTTCAATATTTTTTCAAATCTGTATCCCTGTATGAAACGTTGTTTGAATTTGAACATGAGTTACCCAAAAATAAATTTGAGAAAAGATTTAGAAATATCATATTGGGGATATTTGGAAAGTTAAATGGTTAATTGGTAATAGTTAAAATATAGGGAAATGTGATAATATTATTTTTTTATTGTCCTCTGAAATCTTCATTTTTGTAATGGCAACATTTTTAAGATCAATCGTCTGGTGTAAAAAGGTGTTTCTTGCCAGAAGAAAATTGCGTTCAGAGATTTTTTGCAGTTTAATTTTTTTTTTTGCTGTCGTCTCCAAATTTGATCTTGTCATGGTTTAATGCGGGTCTTATGTAAAGAAAAAGAAATATGATTATCGCAATAAATATTTTAAAATGGTTCCCTTTTAGCTTAAAAAATTCACATCTGACTATTGCTTCATGGTTTATGAATAGCTCCAAGCCTCGAACTTGAGAAAGTGAGACACAGAAACTAGATTCACAGACCATTAACGGGCTCCGTTGACTCCTCATCCTGACCAAACAGATGCAAAAGATGTGGATCCTGATGATTTTGTCGGATGCTTGCTTTAATTCGGGAATTTGGAATTGGAATTCCAGTTTGTGTTGGTTCTTCCTTGTACATTTCCAGGTTTCTGCAAGAATGATAAAAACCACGACGTCAGGCTGAAGGTCGAGGCCTTGCGGCTCACAGGCTTGCAGCCGAGCAATGGCACCAAATCCGGCGAAGCTTTCTTCGCCATCTACCCGCGCACCAACGCGCCCCGCAGCAACCTGTACGCCCGCCGGGACGAGGAGCTGTACCAGTACAGCGGCATCATGGCCCTGCTGCGCGTCCACACCGACTACCTGGCCATGCACTGCGGGCGGCTGGCCTACGCCGTCTCCTTTCATGAGTCCAGGCCGCTGCCCGAGGGCCGGGCCAGTGCCTCCCGCATGCCCTCCATCCAGGAGGAGGACAAGGGCGGGGCGCCTTCACCGGGTCCCTCGACTCTCCAGGTGCCTCCATTAACCCTCGGGCCCTCCCAGTCCCCGTCCCCCGAAAACACCCCGCCTCAGCCCACGGAGCCTGCGCTTCCTCAGCCTCCAACTCCCCAGGTAGAGAAACGGCCCCACTTGAACCTGCTCTGAAAGTGACCAGTCCCGCTGCGGTTGTTGTCGTGTGTTTCCTGCTCCTTTTCTGACTCGGTCTCCTTGACTCACTGTATTCGGTTGAAAATTGCCCGTGACACTCTGGTATCTTGGGAAGTGTATTCCAAGCAGTAACTAACTGGACTTTTGGTTTTCTTTCCTTATTTTGTAATTAAACACAAGACAAGTAAAATGTCTGCTTTGCAAGAGACCCACAGTATATATGGTTCAAGAGTGTGAAATTATGATGTGATATTACTGACAGAAAAATACTGGTCCCTCTTAATTGCAAGTTAAATGTGCACAGCCACGTCTTTTTTACATTTCTACATTCTTCTATAAAGTATGAAAAATCTGGTATTTCGTTCCTTTGCATTTAGGGCTGTTTTCCTGCACAGTGAAAACACAGTTGTCCCGACGTGTTAATGGAGGACTTTCTTTTCTGTCAGTCTCCGATCCAGCATCCTAGCCCAGCTCCTGTCCAGCAAACTGACCCCGAGTCAAATATGAGGCTGTCCCCTGAGCCCAAGCCTGAGACTTCCAGCGACAGCCTGCCTCCCACTCCAAGGAGCAGCCTCTCGTCGCCAAGGCAACACGGCGCGTCCAGCAAGGCCAGCCTGCACTTCCCCTCCCCAGAGGAGACGCCCGTTCCGAGCCCCACGCCGTTTCCTGCAACACACGTGAGTGATGGTATACCACTGCTGGAACATGAGTGCAGTAAGAAAAGTTTAAATATTTGACTCAGATTATTTGTTTGAATATATAAATATAAAGCCTGGTTTGGAAGTATCCTAGTGAATAACCATGACATTAAGTTTCTTTCCTGAAGAGCTCTGTTTAGGAACATAAGATAAGACTTTATTGATCCCGAGGGGAAATTGATGTAAATTGATGAACACATACTGTATGTGTTCTGTGTTTACAGAAACATATATTTTACCTCTAATGCCTCGGTTACTAGCTCTCGTAATCAGCTTGAAGTGGTTGTTTGGGTTGCCTTTGGGTTGCATCATTCGAATCCCAGCATAGGGTTTTCTGCTCCAGTCTAAAGAAGCAGAGTCCTCTTTAAAACGGCTCAGAGTTTATAGGGCTAAAAACAGATTTACAATGGCCTCATCAAGTCAATGCAAATGTATCAGAGTTGTTTATTCTAGTGAATAATCAGCATAGCTCATGCGTTTGTATAACTATGCAGAGCACTTCACTGTTGTAATTATCTTAAAGCTCAGTGTGGGGAATCTACAGTACTCTGAAGAAGGGTCTTTTTTATTCAGGTTATAACAACGTTCAGGTACATTCATCTCATACATGTGGACTTCAGACATTTCTGCTCATTTCATGAATGGGTACAGTAGTTGTGATTTTTGTTTTATGTGCCCTTCATGTGACTTGGACAGCGGACAGCGAAAACCGGAATCCTTAACACGTGCAAAACTCAACACTGTGGCACAACAGAATTGCTTCTGTGACCTCGGAATTAAGACAGGACTTATAGACGCCTCTAGGGCTCTGTGGATCCTGTTTGGAACTGGCACTGCGCAGCTCTTTTCATTCCACGGCCTAAATTGTAATCAATGAGGCTTGTGACACTCGATTAGAAATTAATTGGATTGTGTGTATTTTTGGTCAAAGGCTGCTTCTGGAAGCCGGAGCAGATGATCAGACTCGACATTTGTAATGCTGGTAAATTGAGTCGTCCGTTTTCATTCCAAGCATTTAATAAACCAGACCATTTTGTGGCTCATCTGAGCATTCTTCTTTTGTTGATATCACTGCATTCCTTCTCCTCACTGTTGTATCCAAGCTACAAAATATGTAAAATGTGCATCTGCTAGAAGACAAAAGCCTTTCAGCATTCATGGAAAATTTAATTTAAGTCATTTTTGGACAGAAAGTAATATTTTTTAAATGTAATGGTGCTTGCCCCACCAGTTTTCTGTGTTCTGCCCTTATCAAGTAATGTTATGGATCTTATTAAAAATTATGTATTCTTACAGTATATCCCAAAATTAATTGATTTGACTTAAATGTAATGAAATTATCTGCTCATAAAGCATTAGCATTAACTTCCCTCAGATACAGAATACTTGTTTTTTTTCCTTTATACCACGTGTAGATGTTTTTTTGGGCAGAGTCACAATGAATTGAAATGATTAGTTATGTCTTAGCAAGAATGATCATACTACATTACAGCGTTTTCATCTTCCCGTGCTTTACTTTTCCAGTAACTGATACAATAGAGATAAAACACAGGCAGGAAATGTAATTGCTTTCAGGACAAAATCAGCCTGCAGTGCAGTATTTATAGCCGTCACAACATATATTGACCGTAGGAATTGTGGACAGGGTCAAGTGATTCACAGCCGAACAAACACTATTCAGATTTTGACAGAGGGCCCAAACGTTGTAGTCATGACATCAAAGCATGATTAGATTCTCAAAATGGCCCCTGACTGCCATGTGAAAAAAATCAATTGCAATCAGCAATGGGCAGTTGCTATTGTGATGTTGTGTCGGTAATAAGGAAGGATGAGCAAGCTGCAGTACGTACAAGCCACTTTTATCTTGGTTACCTTTTGTAGACCCAACAAGAGAGATCTACTCTCGCTCAGATCATTGAATATCTAAGGAGTGTCTGACAGGTACAAATCTTCGGAATGGTTATTAAACCAGCAGCAATCAACAGCACTTCAGACAAACTGTTGTACTGTGCTTCACCTGCCAGAATTATGCTGGGGAGGCCTGACAGGCATTGTGAATTGCAGGCAGACGATGACAGGATCTGAGTGGAGATGAAATTGATTTCCTCAAATCCCAGACTAATGGAGACATCACCTGTATTTTAGTTCGTGCCATCCTTGCTGTTTCTGTTGTTATTAATAACTTTAAAAAATAATATGCCTGTGTACTCAGTCAAGGCTTTAAGTAAGTGTAAGTGTTTAACATCATGCACTTGTTTTTCTTTTAGAAATGGCCCTGCAGTCTGTTTAACATTTTAAAAATGTCACCATCACATTTGGTGATAAATGAACCTGAATCTTACACAATTTAAACTGTAAACTGGTGTTCAGTGTTTAAAATTCTAGGTTATTGGGCATAAAATGGCACTTGAACTACTGGCAGATAATGGAGCACTATGAATTTCATAATGTGGAATATTTGAAAAAGCATTAGTTTTACATTGGAATTGGAAAATAGCTCTTTTGAAATGCAGTCTTTGAGTTTTGTGTTTCATTGGAGATGCAGCATTATCTGAAATCTGCAATAAACCTCATGTGGAATACCAGAGGAGGTGCTTGAGTCTTACCCAAAGTCGTCTTCATCGTGGTCAATTATGGACAGGCAGCACTGTGGTGTGCAGTCCCCACCCCCTGAAAACACCCCAGGTCGTAAGCTTTTGGATTCATACCGGTTCGCTGTCTATGTGAATTTGCACGTTTTTCCCTTGTTTGGATGAATTTTTGCAAAGGATCAATTTCCTCTCACCCTCCAAAAACATACTGGCTGGGTTAACTAATGTTAATTATCCCTCTGTTGTGGTGTATGTGCCCTGCGATAGAATGGAGTCTCATCCTGAGCATCGTCCCACTTTGCACTGTATTATTCTAATACAGTCTCTGGGCTACTGCTACCCTAACAAAGAATACGCAGTTTTCTGGTGATGGATGGTTGTAATCAGAAAGGGCATTTGTAAAAATCTTTGACAAAGAACAATGGATTTTAAATAGTTTCATTACATTGTCAAGGGAGGGTCAGCTTTTGAATTGGATCCTAAACATTTTAATTGCATATAAATTGTTTTTTGCACTGATTCGATCAGAGTATTTTCTTTTTCTTAAAAAAGCAGATAAAAGACTAATGTGTGCAATTGTTCTCAGAAGCAATCTTGAATATAGTGTACATGTCTTAACACAGATCCCTTGGTATTTTATATTCTCTAGTAATATAGAACTGTAAAGAAACCCGAGAGTTGCTTTGCCCTCATTATCATACTAGAGTTGTGTTGTGGGCATTTAATACACTGGCACTCCAATGCAAGTGTATGAGCCAATCTCCCGCACTCATCCTGCACGTAGAGCTTGTAAACGAAAGGCTGTCTCCGTTGTATTTCATTCTTAAGTGAATGTCAAACAATGCTCCTATGTGGCATTTTTATGTTTGGCAAGGGAGGGCCACTGATTAATTCAGCAGCCGCACATGAAGAGCCCACCATGTGTGTGACAGGGCCAGTGGTGATTCTTAACGAGGACAATCGCCGATGTGCCTCGTCCTTGGTGAAGAGATTAAAGCCCGAGTTTTTACAGTGGCTCTGAGTGATTAGTCCTTAATTACTTTTCATTTGGTGCCGCATCATTAGTGTGTGGCGGCTGGGCTCATTAGGTTTTGCTTGTAAGACAGGATGGAGGTGCATGTGGCAAAGAGCGCAGATTCAATGAGCCCAGACTGTTCCAGCTCCAAGTGCTTATTGGAAACGCGCATAGGCTGGCTTGAATTGTAAGGCATGAGTTTACCCCCAGGTTGGAGAAAAGAGTTTTTCGGTCACCAGGAAACCAGTGTTAAAGCTTTTACTTTATTCCATTAACTCATCTGTGCTAGAGATCTTGTACTGCATTGTTTTTTTATGAATCCTTCAATGAATCGGGTTAAATATATCGGCATGCCACCCATTCTAAAATCAAATAGTCATAGAATTATTTTACTTTTACTCGAGTTAAAACCGCACACTGTTTTTTTTTAACAGGTGTAATTAGCATTATTTTCTGTTTTTAAAATTTGCAATAGTTTTTTTTTTTAACTGCACCCAATTGGGAATTGGTAACTGTCTGAAGCCTTGGGACTCCAGCAGTGACTCCTCTGTCTTGCTGGCAGAGAATCATGCAAGTGGACGAGCTCCTTTGACACTGAAAAACTAAGGTTGCAGCTGGAAGAGGTGTTAGTGGGACCAGCAGGGGGCGCTCACCCTGCAGTCTGTGTGGGTCCTAATGCCCCAGTATAGTGACGGGGACACTGTTCGGTAAAAAGGTGCTGTCCTTCGGATGAGATGTAAAACCGAGGTCCTGACTCTCTGTGGTCATTAAAAATCCCAGGACGTTTCTCGAAAAGAGTAGGGGTGTAACCCCGGCGTCCTGGCCAAATTTCCCATTGGCCTTTACCAGTCATGGGCTCCTAATAATCCCCATCTATGAATTGGCTTCATAATCTGTTCTCTTCCCCACTGATAGCTGGTGTGTGATGAGTATTCTGATGCACTATGGCTGCTGTTGCATCAATGTGGGGCTGCGCACTGGTGGTGGAGGGGATCCCCATTACCTGTAAAGCGCTTTGAGTGGAGTGTCCAGAAAAGTGCTATATAAGTGTAAGCAATTATTATTATTATTATTATTATTATGATTATTATTAGAGCCATTCCTCTTTCGGCACATTGCAAGCATCAGACAGAAGAGAAGTGTCCAACCACAGTGGAGATTCATTTTGTCGTGACGTTGCTGCAGGAGGTTGAGAATAGAAACCCTTTGCCACAGCTGGGTAGTGAAGTAATTAAAAATGGCATTATTATGTAGTTTCCATTTAACTTTTTTTTGTAGCGTTAGTACAGGTTTGTTCCTGCATTGTGCCCATTGTTGGTTAAGTGGTTAGAATCTGGATGGATAGCACAGGCTTGCACTTCTGTCTGAAACAA